CGCCGGCCGAATGGCCCGGGTGAAGTTCGTCGCGGCGGTCGCGTCTCGGCGTGACCGTTCGCGCCGAACCCCGGTGCTCATGGTCGGCTCGCTCGACGGCAAGAACCGTCGACGCGGCCCCGTCGCAGGCGGGGTCCCGTCGGTCGGCGACGAGTTTCGGGCTACTTTCCGACCCGTCTTGAAACACGGACCAAGGAGTCTAACGTGTGCGCGAGTCAACGGTGATCTTACGAAAAACCACGTTTGGCGCAATGAAAGTGAACCGTTTACGGTGCGGACGATGGCCTAGTGACCGAACCCACCGGCGTTCAAAGTCGCGCTGGTCCGCAGTCCGGGGGCGTCTCCGCCAAGTCGGCTTCGGCCGTCTGGGGGCGCACCCTTAGCGCACACGTTGGTACCCGAAAGATGGTGAACTATGCCTGGCCAGGATGAAGTCAGGGGAAACCCTGATGGAGGTCCGCAGCGATTCTGACGTGCAAATCGATCGTCTGAGCTGGGTATAGGGGCGAAAGACTAATCGAACCATCTAGTAGCTGGTTCCATCCGAAGTTTCCCTCAGGATAGCTGGCGCCGATGTGTCCCGCCCGTTCGCGGGCGTACGGACGCCGGTGGGACTCCGCGCTGTACGGCGCGGTAACAACACGCTCGTAACACGGAGGATGTCTCATACGGTAAAGCGAATGATTAGAGGACATTGGGGTCGAAACGGCCTCAACCTATTCTCAAACTATAAATGGGTGAGATCGCCGGCTTTACCTGGTACACCGCGTGAACCGCGTGCGAAGCCGGCGACGGAACCCTAGGCGCTTAGTGGGCCATTTTTGGTAAGCAGAACTGGCGCTGCGGGATGAACCGAACGCCGAGTTAAGGCGCCGAAATCGACGCGTATTCAGAGACCATGAAAGGCGTTGGTTGCTGATGACAGCAGGACGGTGGCCATGGAAGTCGGAATCCGCTAAGGAGTGTGTAACAACTCACCTGCCGAAGCAACTAGCTCTGAAAATGGATGGCGCTGGAGCGTCGTGCCTATACTCGGCCGTCGGCGGCATAGTGGGGCCGGCCGTCGCTCGCGGCGGTCGGTCCCGGCAAGCCCCGACGAGTAGGATGGCGCGGCGGTGTGCGTCGAAGGGCAGGTCGCGAGACCGCCTGGAGCCGCCGTCGGTGCAGATCTTGGTGGTAGTAGCAAATACTCGAGAGGGGCCCTCGGGGGCTGCCGTGGAGAAGGGTTTCTTGTGAACAGCCGTTGTCCAAGAGTCAGTCGATCCTAAGCCCGGGGAGAGATCCTCGTACCACGGGCGAAGGCGTTTTCGAATCGCCCTTGGGGCGAGAGGGAATCCGGTCCGTATTCCGGAACCCGACGCGGAACCGCTCCCTAGTGTTCGGGGCTCTTTTGTCTCGTCCGGGCAACCGGAATGAACTCGAAGAAGCCGTCGGGGGATCTGGGGTGAGTTCTCTTTTCTCTGTGAGCGTTGTACGTCCCTGGAATCCTCTAGCCGGGCGATAGGGACGCGAGCGCGAAGAGCACCGCTCGTTGCGGCGGTGTCCGTGATCCCCACGCGGACCTTGAAAATTCGAGAGAGGGCCACGCGGAGTCTTCGCGTCGGTTCGTACCGATATCCGCAGCAGGTCTCCGAGGTGAGCAGCCTCTAGCCGCATAGAATAATGTAGGTAAGGGAAGTCGGCAAAACCGATCCGTAACTTCGGGATAAGGATTGGCTCTGAGGAGCGTGGCGTGTCGGGTTCGTGTCGTCGTAGAAGCGTAGGCGGTTTTGGCGACACCCCGGCCGTCGCTTGTGTGCCCGGTCTCCGGACCGGGAACCTCGAGGCGGCCGCGGGCCCGTCGCCGTCCGCCGACCGTGGAACCACCGAGCTTCGGTCGCTGGCCGCGGCGCGGCCGGCCGTCCGCTTGGTGTCGGTTCGCCGTCGCCAGGCGGTCCGGCCGCCGCGCCGTCGGTCGCGTAGCCGGATCGACCGCCATGTAACGGTCAACTCAGAACTGGCACGGACCAGGGGAATCCGACTGTCTAATTAAAACAAAGCATCGCGATGGCCCGGGATGGGTGTTGACGCGATGTGATTTCTGCCCAGTGCTCTGAATGTCAACGTGAAGAAATTCAAGCAAGCGCGGGTAAACGGCAGGAGTAACTATGACTCTTTTAAGGTAGCCAAATGCCTCGTCATCTAATTAGTGACGCGCATGAATGGATTAACGAGATTCTCACTGTCCCTATCTACTAGCGTTGCGACAACAGCGACATAGTTCAGACGTGTGTTTCCGCGTTCGACGTTGCTCCGAAGGGCGATCCTAGTGGCGATAACCGGTTTTTAACTTAACTTCGAAAGTTTTCGGGAATTTTTTCTAAAAAGTGTTCAAAAAGTTTCGGTATAGTGCATAGTGCGATATAAGTCGGGTTTCACGGAAGTTCGCTTAGCCGTTCGCGGGTAAAAGCCGAAAGGCCGTTTTACGTGTTAAAGGATAGGACCTTACCGTAAGTGGAGGGGAGAGCTCTGGTCGGTAGTCACGTACACCGAGTAATTCCAGGAATCGGCCGCCCGTTCTGAAATCCGTGACACGTGTAAGTGCGTTCAACTGCTCATTAAAGTGTACAAATAATTAGCACGGCCGCCGTGAATATAATTTGGGTAAAATCGTTAAATAAAAACGTGTTTTAAGTAAAGCCTATAATCTTGTGATATACGTTAATCGAATCGCGGGCGCGGCATTGGCTAATAGTGTTTGAAGTGGTTTCCCACAGTGTTAAATTGCCGAAAAATCGGCGGGCCATAGTGCGGGTTATTGCCATAGCGGCATTAGTGCAGTCCGTTTGAAGTGAGCTTACATACGGTTTTAACATTGCCGAAATTACGGACGAATAACGTTGTGGGCGTAAATCAAATAAGCCGACTACAAAGCGGGCCATATAGCATTGCCGAAATTTTCGGGATTTATTTTTTGGACATTTAGGTAAACCAGGACACTCCTACTACTGGACACAAATTGTCGAGTTGGGTATCAAAGAAAAGCCAGGACTCGGGTGAGTACGAATATAGCATTTAAAACTATCTTACTAGAAGGAGAGTCGAGTAAAATAGAAATAAGAGAGTAAAAACTAGGTACCAGGTACCAGGGTATCATAAAGAAACAGCGCGCTCGCCCATATGTTTTGCATGGCCGCCCGGGACTTGTAATATTTCAATAATTAATACACTACTCTCTTATATTGAGGAGAGTCGAGTGGCATAGGACTTAACTACCGTGAACATCCGAATTGGTCGAGTGGGGTATCAATCAACGCGTAATTACATTACAAGTAACGTGGGTCTAATTTAAAATAATTAGGTAAACCAGTTTCCGTGATTTGACCCAAAAACAGACCTCCAATAACGGAAAAAGTACCAGGGTCTCATAAAGAAAACCGGTTACTCCGAGTTTACATTGCTCTTATGGCCGCCCGGGACTTAGAATAATTTTACATAAATTAAAATCCGAGTGACGTCACATAAAGGTATTATCAGGTTCATACTATCAACAGCGCACTATCAATAAGTCTCATTATCACTATCACTACTATCAATGGATAGAAGTGCATAGATAAGATAAGCCCGCCAAAATTTAAATAACATCAACGGGGTACCGCACTAGGTCATGTTCATATATTAAGTATATAAACATAGAGTTGAGTGGGGGAATACACTGTACATATGGCCGCCCGGGACTTAGAATATTTTTGATAGTAGTAATAAGGTATATATAGATATACATATATTGACTTAAAGCTGGGCCTTAAGAAAACAATAGGAATCTACACATAGGTGGGGATACATATGTATTACGTGGCCGCCGGGGACTTAGAAAATTTTCACAAAGTCCAATGGTAAAGGCATAACAACACATAGGAGATACAGCACGATCAAGACATAACATTACATACATAAGTATAGGAATCGACTTTTTCATCGAGTCAGTAAATCCGGACCTTTTAACATACGGACTTCAAACCAAGGGCAAAGGCTACCTTAGGTGAGCATATAACAGGATAAAATAAGTCAAAATTTCAGAGGCCTGTAGCTCACTGAATATTGAAGATACAGCTGCCGGACCAAGGACGATCAATTAGTTGGAACCTAGCCGACCTAGCATCAAAATTTGAAAATCCAAAATTTCCACCCCGCAAATTTTGAGTTCTCATATCTCGAAAGGAATTTACAATAGGAACCTAGCTCCAACGGCAGAAATTTTGGTTTAATAAATACAAATTTGTCACTCCGACGGAATTTTGATATCATCCAAAACCCCCCCCCCCCCCAATTTTGGAACTTAAATAATTTGGAGGGAATTCAGGATAGAAGAATAGGAATAACGCAGAAACAACTGGAAGACGATTATCAAAAAGGTCACCCCAACAGATTTTGGAGATTCAAAAATTTCCCCCCCCCCTTAATTTTGAATTTCAAATATTTTGGAGGGAATTCGGGATAGAAGAGTAGGGCAAACGCAGAAGCAATTGGAAGTCGACCATCCAAAGGGTCACCCCAACAGATTTTGGAGATTCAAAAATTTCCCCCCCCCTTAAATTTGAAAATCAAATATTTCGGAGGGAAATCGGGATAGAAGAACAGCACTAACACAGAAACAACTGGAAGACGATTATCTAAAGGGTCACCCCAACAGATTTTGGAGATTCAAAAATTTCCCCCCCCCCTCAATTTTGAATTTCAAATATTTTGGAGGGAATTCGGGATAGAAGAGTAGGGTAAACGCAGAAGCAATTGGAAGCCGACCATCCAAAGGGTCACCCCAACAGATTTTGGAGATTCAAAAATTTCCCCCACCCTCAAATTTGAAAATCAAATATTTCGGAGGGAAATCGGGATAGAAGAACAGCACTAACACAGAAGTAATTGGAAGACGACTATCTAAAGGGTTACCAAAAGAGATTTTGAGATTCTTAAAATTTCCCCCCCTCAATTCTGAGAATCAAATATTTTGGAGGAGAAAAATGGCGCAAAACAGAAGAGCATCCGAAATGAGTACTAATAGCAACACGGAAAGTCAGGCGGATCAAATTGAACAGCACAGGCAGGGAGTTAACAACAGAATTGAACTAAACCAGCAAGGCATCGCGGGTTGGAATGCAAGATGGGTAAGATTGCAAGAAGACAGAGGAAATAGAGCACGGTTCATTGAATCAAGACTGCTCATAGAAAATCAAAAAATCGAACAAGGTAAAGAAAAAGAAAAGAAGGGCAAAAGATCAACATCGCCCTGGAAACTACCGTCATTAGGCGGAAACTGGGTTTTCGGACCATCTAAAGAATACAAGATTTATGAAGTCAATAAATGGGAAGCCAGAAAAGGCAACGAAACTAAAAAGCCTCATTATCAACCAGAATCCAACTGGATCCCCTTTGGGAAAAAGAAAGATAGTAAGGAATCCAGAGTGGAGGCAGCAGCAAGGCTACAGAGGGAAGATGCAGAAAGAAAGAAAAGGAAAGATTTAGAAAGAGAAAGAGAAAATGCAAAGATACAAGAACAAAAATTAAGGCATACAGAGTACTTGGCGAGTGAAAACTTGATGAAAGCTTTAATGCTCGAAGAGAAGATGATTAATCAGGCAAAGACATTACACGCAGAATTAAGTGCGCAAACAACTAAAGATACTCGGGAAGCAGAGACGATAACAGAGGAGATAGAACATCACTACTCAAGTATTGATTCTACAGATAATGGGTGCAAGGAGGTGGAAGATTTACGCAAACAAGAGAACACATATTCAGAACTATCGGGTGAATGGAATGGACCCATTACCTTGTTTGCTGGATACGAAAAGGAGGGTATCAAAGACCAAGAACTTGAATTAGGACAAAACAGCAAGAACATTTTTCAGAGATATGAAATGCAACTGGAGGAAAGAAAAGTCACGGCTAATTTCACAACATCAACCCCTGTGAAACCAATACCAGCGATAAGGAAATTCAGGATGGATACAAATCCTAAAAATAAAGCATCAGCAGATAAAGCAAAAGATGAACGAAGGTCAATAAAACCACCAATGCCTCTGGCTAGAACAAAAATTGCTACCCCGCAATCAGAATCAGACAGCGAAATCAGTGGAAACATCTCAAACAAATCAAGAAACCAGGAAATATTAGTCAGATCTATACTAAGGTTGAGAGGTGGAAAAGGGAGTGAACAAGGATCACCAAACATAAAAGACCAGTCACAAAGAGACGGCTTTGACAGCACGGACGAAGAGGAAATAGAGGAGGAACCAGAAAATGTGAACCAAACTACTATCGGTTCCAATAAACAAGACATATCCAATAAGATTGCATCAGACATGGAGATAGAAACAGAGGAGTTACCAACGACTTCCCGAATAAGGTCGAAACATCTAATTCCAATAGCCGTAGGGGATATTGAAACGGATAGTGAACTAAGTGGAAGCGAGGGAATCCTGAACGAAAAGAAAAAATTCAAACAAAACGGGCTAAATGCACAGCGCGATGATCAACCAGGATTAAATCAAAGCACAACTTTGGGACATACACAAAAACTTCAACGCCTAGCGACCAGATTCGACGTCATAATATTGTCTGAGGCATTTAATAAGAAGACATCGAGGACGCATGTCAAGGAACTAATGAACATCAGGGAGAAATACAACGAGCTCTTTGAACACATGATACTAGAAAACAGCCTACTCGAGGGCAGGCTTCTAGAGGCGAGAGCTATAAAGGAAACAAGAGAGAAGGAAGTAATTATAACCGAACGGACAAGAGCTGAGATGGAAAATGAGATCATTAAGCTCAGCGACAGAGACACAGATCAAAACATAGAACCAGGACAAAATAAAAGGAAACTAAAAAACTCGCAAAGAAAACTTAGGTTTAAGCAAGTAAACAGAGATGTCTTGAAGGTCTACCAAACCGAAGAACAACCGAACCAGGATGAAATGGAAAGCGAAATTGAAACTCAGGTTTCGGATGGCAGAGCTAGATCATCAGATGCAGATGTATCAACTGCACAAAGCGGAAATGAAAATGGAGAGAAGCGAACAAAGAAGAGAACTAAAAGAACGAAGAAGGCCAGGAAACAAAAAATAGAGGAACTAAAGGCAATAGAACCACAGAAGCAATTCTTGTGGGAGATAGAGGGTGATGCCAATGTGGAAGACGTTAAAAAGGAGCTATGGTCTGAAATAGTCAAAAAGGTAATAACCCCAAAAATAGAACAAACAAAGATCTCAACTAATGGAGAAAAGATGGCATTGCGCATAATAACATCAGATATCCCAACGTACCTAGCGCTAAAAGATCTGGCTAAAGACAGGGAAAACGTTTTACGGGTGCAAACAAAGAAACCAATGGTACAGATATACGACGTTGACAGGGACTTATCAGGGGACGATATTATAAACATGATAAAAACACAGAACCCGGAACTAATGGAAAATGAGAAGGATTTCGGGATCACTCCAATTTTCAAAAGAGGCCCGAGAGATGGTCCATCAGTATGGTGGGTTTGTGAAGTAACACCATCTACGCTGGAAAAAATGTTAGAAATGGGAAAACTATACTTAGGATTAACAAAATGCAAGATAACTGAATACTTCGACGTGACACAGTGCTTTGGGTGCTGTAAATTCGGACATAAGCAAGCGGACTGCAGAAATAAAAGGGTAGTGTGCTCCTACTGCGGAGACGAAGGACATAAGAAGGAAGTATGCAACTCGCAGAGTGATCACCCACGATGTGCGAACTGCAGAGAGTCTCACGAGGCCACCGACCGCAATTGTAGGGCAAGATTAGCAGCCATCAATAGGGTTGTTAAGAGGACGGACTATAAGCAGCAATGATGGAGAATAATTCTACATCAACAAGTAAAGGGGGGACAACAAAAAGGGAATACAAACTGAAGATAGCACAAATAAATATGGCAAGAACAGCCACGGCGAATAATGACCTACTGGAATACGCGCAAAAAGAAGGTTTAGATTTAGCTCTATTACAAGAACCATACGCAAGGTATGGAAGGATAACGGGCCTAGAGACAGCACCATTCAGGATAATCATATCACCAGGCACCAAACAAGAAGGAGGACATAATATATTACACGGAGCGGCTATAGTGATATTCAATCCAGCACTAACGGTGCTTGCTAGGAACGACTTAACATGCGAAAACTTTGCGGTAGCAACAATCAAATTAGGAGACGAGGAAGATATTAATCTCATTTCGGCCTACTTCAAGTTCAGAAAACCAACAGCAGAAATGTTAGAAACACTAAAAAAGCTAAAACAAAAATGTGGTCATCGCACAATCATAGGGGGAGACATAAATGCTTTTTCCACAAGATGGGGAAGCAAGAAGACAAACAATAAAGGGAAATTGGTAGAAGAATTCATTGATAATGAACAGCTGGTACTAATAAACAAGAATGGACAACCATACACGTTCTCTGGACCGAGAGGGGAGAACAACATTGACGTCACTCTAACAACACAAGACCTATCAGCAAAGGTAAAAAATTGGAGCGTGCTAGACGGGATAATAACAAGTGACCACAGGTTAATTTACTATGAGATCGGAGAAGGAACAACATTCTCGAAACTGATTATAAAAAAGCGCTATGTTACAAAGAAAGCGGACTGGGAAAAATTCAATAGGGAACTTGTTATGCAAACACAACTCATATATAACCAAGATAGTGATTTGGAATCAAGAACAGAGTCAATAATGCAGGCGATAACAAGAGCATCAGATAAGGCTATACCTAAACAAAAACAAAAGAGGAAAGTCGCACCACCATGGTGGACCAATGAATTGGAAAGCAAAAAGAAAATAATGCGAGCAGCATACAGGAAAATAGAAGGAGATGAGGAGGGTAAACAACAACGTAGAGCAGTATACAATAGAGAGAGAAACCAGTATGTCAAAACATTGAGAACAGAAAAGAAGCTTTCATGGAGAAAATTTGCAA